GCGCCCGCCCACGCCGAGAGCAAGCGCCCGCGGGAGCCGGGCCGCGAGCTCGGGCCCCGAAGTTCTGGGCGGCCCGCCGGCGCCGCGGCTCGCTGTCATCCTGGCGCGAGCGCGTTCCTGGTGGCGCTGGCCGAGGTGTCGTGAGCGGGGACGAGCCACAGCCGCGCAGCTGCCCTCACGTTTGCCTGGTGGCGGTGACTGAAGCCGAGGGCCAGCGTCCGCACGCCTGCGTTCGTCAGTCAGCCCCGCTTGCTTTTGGCATGTATTGTCTACACGTTTTCGACGGCAATTCTAAATTAGATCGCTTTGGGTAGAACTCCTGCTTGTGCCATCTGGCTCCTTATTTTCCTACCCAGGGTATCAACTGGTCCGTAATTATTAGCAGAGGCACCAGGCACCTCTCTTTACTGAAAACGCGGAGTTAAACAAGAGGAAGTCGCTGCTACAAGGAACCCACGGGCATGTAATCGGGTTAATTACACTGCAATACGCGGTGGTGTCCCCGCATAATTTAGCACCACCCACAGAACAGGGACGATTGGCAGTAGGGGTCCAAGGGAACTTTCTCGTGGTCTGCCACCCGAGCTTGACTTCGACAGAAAAATAAAGAATTGCTCTAAATGTTTCCTGTGCACAGAGTAGCCTGCTGCGAGCCGTTTCCATTATTTAGTCCAAGGCTAGCAGGACTCCTCGTTTTACTAACTCATTCTGGTAGATAATGAAATACTTTGCATTTTGGCAAATGACAGTAGCTGGATTTATTAGCACACCACTGCGTTTGATCTCGGTAGTATTTCCACGCAGTGCGTCATTCTCCTTTTACCAATGAGGAAGTACGCATTTAGAGAGGCCAAGTGAGCTGGCAGAAGGTACCCTGCCATTAGCAGTCCACGCCCCAAAGAGGCTCCTTGCCGCTGCCCTGCACTCCTCCACTGATTATTAGTTTGGAGTGATGAAAGACAACTCGCTTTGCACTGTGCCCACAGGTAGTTTTTGGTCAGGCACACGGAAGAGCTCTGTCTGAGGAAAGAGTGGGCCCTAGTCAAGTGGCCCAGGGCTGACAGTCAGACTTCCTCAGTATAGGTACAGGAAACTGTCAGCCCTGACATGTTTCTGTGGTTGGACCTCTCTCTTCACTCACTTCAGGGACAGTATTTCTCATTCTCTGATTTCATCAATCAAAAGCTCATGTAATTATTTTTTGGAGATTCTAAAGTCTCTCTAGTTCTTGTTTTTTCCTTCAGGAAGTTCTGAGGTCTGTGAATGCTCTTCCTAGCAGATGTAAGAAAGGATCTAGTTCTAAGTAAGGTTTTTCCCTTTAAATGGGAGACTTTATAATACAGTGTTACTGTTTCACAGGTCTTAAACTGTAAAGCCAGTACCTTCTACTGAAATCCCCTGTAGTGGTACAATTATTTGTGAATTACGTGTAGAAACACGTGTAAGTTACATGTGTGGCATTAGTTTCATATAAGAAAATAAATTCCAAGTTTCCCACCTAGATTTTAAGTTAAATTTTTAAAATGTTACCCATTCATAAATTGCAGCCTTCATGAATCTCACTAGTCTGAAATCTAGAATTGGTATTTATATTTTTGGTTTGAAGCCTTCTTGACCTGGCTTACCATGTTCTTTTAGATACATATAATGGCCACGTGTGATTGGCTCCCGTGGTGAGGATAATCTGTCGTCTGTGTTTTTGTCAGAGCTGACCATCTTACGAAGCCTTTAATGTGTCACAAAGGCAGAAAGTGTAGCAGTGTCCCTGAGTTGCTGCCTGTTGTAAGTTGTGAGGCATCTGCTTCTGCCCACGTGCAGTGCTCCCCTGGACCATCCGTTACCCCCAGTCTCACAGGCCCTTGCTGCTCATTTGCCTCGCAGGACTATTTGTACACACTGTTTCATTATCAGTGCCACGTGGGCAGGCATTGGACGAGGACCTAACTCATTCTGCGGTGCCTTCGCACACCCAGGCAGCAGGTGGTATCCATGTGCAGCTAGTGCAGCTTCTTGACTTCCCAGGGCTTAGCAGCAAGGGAGACAGATTGCAGAAGAGAGCCAGATCTGAGGTCTGTGTGGCTTGGACTGAGACTGGAAGGTGTCAGTTCTCCCCCCGCCCCCGAGTACTTAGCAAGCTCTGTGGGTCCCCTCCCCGAGACGTGGCATCAGCAGTGACACATGAGCGTGCTTTCCGCTCTGCCCTTATAGCTGCACGCTGCGCTGTCACTGTAGGCTGGGGACAGTGTCAATGTTGGGCAGCTCTGGCTACCTTTAAAAATGATAGTACATTTATTAATACTTAATTCTCCTTATAATTAAGCCATTGGTCAAATGGTTT